AAATTGTTCTTGAAATCGATCACAGTAAGGAAGAAACCAAAGATTTCATTCGATTTTGACGTGGCGAATCTAAAGACAATAAAACAATATTGAATACCATCAACAAGTTCGAGGAGAATTACACTCCCGAGAAGTCAATTTCTTGGTACACTGATTCGCCTTTCATCTACCAGATACTTAACTGGTCACTTAGGACACTCGATACGCAAACAATGAAGAAAATGACCTTCTTTATTCGAGATCTTCATTGCCAACTCGAACAATTGCACAAACAACAGTTTAGAAAAACAGACAATAAACCAATTGTTGTTTACCGAGGACAAGGATTTTCCAAAGCTGACTTCGAGAAACTCAAAAAAACCGAGGGTGGCCTTCTCTTAATTAATAACTTTTTATCCAGCAGTCTGAGTGGCGACGCTTCTTTAGCCTTTGCCGAAAGTAACGCATTAAAACCCGACTTCGTCGGAATTCTCTTCATAATCAACATTAGACCACCACTTCCATTAACTCCTTTTGCCAACATCAAACAGATCAGTCGGTTTCCAGACGAAGAAGAAATTCTCTTTTCAATGCACACGGTTTTTCGTGTCGAACAAATCAAGAAAGCGTTCCACAACACAAATCTCTACGAAGTACATATCACTCTCACCAACGACGATGATCCACAGCTATCTGCTCTGACACATTGTATACGGCAGGAAATGAATGGAAGTGGCTGGGAGCGTATGGCTCACTTGATGTATAAGCTTCATAACTACATTATAGCTGAGGAACTTTATAATTACCAATTCGTCACATCGTTCACCGACAACGGGCGAGCAAGTGCACTCAACAACCTCGGAGCGATCGAAGATCAACGAGGTGACTATTCACAAGCACTTTCATCATTAGAAAGATCACTTCAAATCCTCAAAATAGCTCTCCCTCCGAATCATCCTCACTGGGCTGCTTCCTACAACAACATCGGTATAGTTCATAGACAGATGGGCGAGTACTCGAAAGCGCTTTCATCGTACGAAAGATCACTTGAAATCCGAAAAATAGCTCTCCCTCCGAATCATCCTGACTTGGCTGCTTCCTACAACAACATCGCTTTAGTGTATGATAATATGGGCGAGTACTCGAAAGCACTTTCATGGTACGAAAAGTCACTTAAAAAACAACATCGCTTCAGTGTATTCTCACATGGGCGAGTACTCAAAAGCACTTTCATGGTACGAAAGATCACTTGAAATCCGGAAAATAGCTCTCCCTCCGAATTATCCAGACTTGGCTGCTTCCTACAACAACATCGCTTCAGTGTATTCTCACATGGGCGAGTACTCGACAGCACTTTCATGGTACGAAAGGTCACTTGAAATCCTCAAAATAGCTCTCCCTCCGAATCATCCAGACTTGGCTGCTTCCTACAGCAACATCGCTTCAATGTATGATAACATGGGCGAGTACTCGAAAGCACTTTCATCGTACGAAAGATCACTTGAAATTTTTGAAAAGTCGCTGCATTCTACTCATCCTGACTTGTTACTTGTGAAAAGAAACATTGAAAAAATAAGGAAGAAGTTTTGATAGTTTACTCATTTTTCTGCCCAAAAATAAAATCCTCTAATTGGCGTTGTGGTGAGGAACTTGAGGGTGTGGGCGTGGGTTGTGTGTGGGTGTGAGTGTGGGTGTGGATGTGCGTGTGGGTGTGGGGGTGTGAGTGTGAGTGTGCATGTGATTGAGTTCAAGACCCACATCCACACCTACACCCCACACCCACACCCCGGAATTCGTTGACATACTTTCATATTTTTAAAAAAAGAAATATTCTTGTTACTGATGATGAAATTTCGTGAGATGAGTTTATTAATATTGTATTTTCTCGGTTATAAAGTATGTCAACGGAATCAATCGTATATCAATCGATAGAGAATTTAATTCTCTATTTTATTATGTTGAGCCGAAGTCGTTGACATACTTTCATATTTTGAAAGAAAAAATGTTCTTTTGTTACTCATGATGAAATTTCGTCAGATGAGTTTATTAATATGGTCTTTTCTCGGTTATAAAGTATGCCAACGGATTCGATGTTATATCAATCGATACAGAGTTTAATTCTCTATTTTATTATTTTGAAGCGGCGAAGTTGACATACTTATATGGGTTAGAAAAAAAGGGTCGTCGCAGTGATGTAGCAACTTTTTTTAGATTGGGATGGTAATATGGTTGTGGTTTGTGTCTTTTGAAGTATGTGAACTAGGTAAATGTTGTATTAATTGGCAGTGAATGCAATCGTTTCGGAACCCGTGGAATAGTGACTTTGTCGATGTATATATATCGTTTGTTAAAAAAGGATGTTTGTCAGTGATTATGAATTGTTTGCAGCGATGCGTGGGCTTTATTGGTTTTTATGTTTTAGGGAGTACATGGAATTAGTTGTTTTTGTTAATTGATAGTGAATTGAATGGTTTGGGGAGTGGTGCTGAAGCGATTCGGGTGACAGAGGTTGAATGTTTGATAAAAAAATATTCTGAGTACGTGGGATCAGATGTAGGCGGATCGTGATGGTAGTGTTAGTTTGTATTTTGGCGAAGGATGTCAACTGAGTGCATCATTTATCTATTGAAAGAGGACCCAGGTGAATATTGGATGCTATGTGCTGATGTGGGTGATATTTTTCGGTAGTTTTAGATAGAAAAAAGTGTTTGAGGTTTTATTGAAATTGTCTGTTTGTTGGACGTCTTTTGGTGTGTCTATTAGAAGCGGTGTGAGTTCTGTGGATTGCAGTTGAGTTGATGGCGATGTCAGTCAGTGCCATGTGTCGCTGAGTGGATGCGTGGCACTGACTTTTGTACAATGACTAGTTCCCTTTTCCTAGTTCAGGGTTTGATATTCATATTTTTATCAGTGTGTTCTCATGGATGGTTAGAATAATGGTGTTTGTGGTGGAATATAAATTCGCTTATGTTGACGGGATCTGTGTCTTTGTGTTGTAGTTAGAATGTTAGCTTGCCTTTTTCTTTATTGGAAAAACACGAAGTATATATAGGAAGGGAAAATTGGACTAGTCAGGGAAGAAGTTGAGTTTCTTCGTCTGATTGAAAATGAACAACAAGTAGAGTTACAACAAAAGACGTCAGTGAAGAAGAATAGGTCAGACGGGTAAGAACATATAGTAACACCTGAAGAAAAAGAAATATGAAATCATCCATATATCCTAACAGTTGTTCTAGAACTTTTACTGCTTTTTCTTGTCGGATGTATAAAGTCTGTAGGTGCTCATGGATAGTTACGTAAAATCATTTGAATGTCGCTAAATCGGGAATTACTGACGTGCAATTGACATTTCTGGCTGTTGAATAAGATTAGAGACGATTTTATGCTCGTAACTAAGGAAAATGTGATGGTATTCTTTGGAGGTGGCTTGGTATTTCGTACGGACAATTTCATTGGTAGAACGTATCTCGGATATGATTGGTGTTCGTGGTAGCTTCACATCGATGTTAAGTATTTAGTAAGTTGGAAAAAAAAGAAAAAAAATAGAGAAAATATTCGACAAAACGTTAATTTAATAATTATAGCAAAAGGATTTGTTTACCAAGAAAGTCATCAGCCAAAATTAATCTTAAAAAATCATTGAAATTCAATGTGATACTATTTCTCACCTTCAAAATAATTTACCAGTAAAATTCAATATAGTTTTATAATAATATATGCCTTGTATTACCAAGAAATTCTGATTAATAACTTCTTCAAAACAAATGATATGGATAACAAAAGTTTTATTTTACAAATAATACAAAAAAAAATCACATTCTGTTCATTATGAAATAAATAATATCTTGTTCATTTTTCAATAGATAATTGATATTGATCATTAACATCAGTATCGATTCTAATATGACTATGTGATACGACTGTTGACAGATAATATGTAATATGTTTTCCGATATGATCTTTAACTGGACCAACACCCGAAACTAAAAAAAAATCGAGTCAATTTTTAGTTGAATAATTCTTATTGAAAATTTAATACATAGTTTATAAGATTTTTGAAGAATCGATTGAATAGCTTTATTTGTTAAACTGATTTCAATCTTTTTTTCTTTAAATCTTTCTTCAATTGATATCACTTGAAGTTGAATAATAGCAGAAAGTTGATTATAAGTAAGAGGTTGAAAAAATACAATATCATTTACATGACGGTAAGTTTTCTGGAAAATGTAGAACGACCATTAAAAAAAACATACATATATATTTATTCATTTGATTTAAAATTATTTGAAAAAGAAACAAACGTTTTTCATCGCAAAATCTTTTATTGTTTGAGAAATTTTTCCATCAAATTTAACGTTGGCTAATAAAAAGTTTTCACTTTTTTCTAAAATAATTTGTGCGTCTACATTTGCTTTCAATATAAGAATTGTATGGTGAGCGGACAACTGATCACAGGAAATTGATCATGACAGACAACTGATCACGGCGGACGACTAATCATGCATAATTGATCATAAAGGAAAATTGATCATGAAGGGTCATGAGATTATTGTTATCGTTTAGGGTGGGTGTGTG